TTTTCAGAGATTGTCGGGTAAACTGGACCCAATGCTTTGTCGTTAAAGCCCAACTGCACTCTACTTGTGCCCTCTATATACCAAACAAAGGCTTATCGGTGCCTATCGGTCCCCCATGATTCTCTTTCTCTTATGTTAATTGAGAGCTTAATTGACCTTACAGGGACGTCTAATCCCCCTGGCCATACAAGTGCAGACGGGCATTAAGAGGTGGGTTATTCCTTAAAGTTACACCCGAACTTTCGTGATTTAGGCCTAGATTATTCACGAAAGTTCGTGTAACACGAAGACGCGAAGACACGATGGAACGAAGTAAGCCGTTCTGAATAGGCCTATTTACCAATTATAGATAATATTAATGATAACGACTTTCACAGCTACACCTTATCCTATGTTTCATAAACATGCCGACCTGATCGAATGACCCACTGTCGGGGTTTAAAAACAAAACGAAGTAAATCTTGTCAAAGTCCTCCCATTGTGCCGTTTTATTCGATGTTCTGCCATACAGACTGACGTGATTATGAATATGTACGTAATGTTGTGGATAAATAAGGCCTCACAAAAAAGATGTTGTATTGCCCTTTAGGTGCCAAAAGATGAATCGGTCGGTCGGAAATCTTTTTTTAAAAACCGACCGTAGATTTCAAAATTTTGGGGTCGGTCGCAAAGGGCAATACAACATCCTTTTCTTTAGGCCTGATGGAGGATATGTGATTGAACTGAATGTTTATTGCATCTTAATATCATTAAGAATTCAAAGCTAGTTGTATTATCAGAAGAAAAAATTCCCACAACAATACGTTTATGGATATTGGCGACTACGAAGATAAATGTATACATGTATACAGCTAAACAAATTAGGTACAATGAATTAATCCGATATAAAGTGACATGTAGATCGTAATACAACAAAATACTTGTAGTGTTACGGAGTGTTATAGAACAACAAGACTAAAAATAGTACACTTCTATACGTACATTTAGCTTATATAGTTCAAAATTATTATGGTATTTGTGGGGGAAAACACTGGCAAGGAAAGTTTGTATAGTGCGTAGCCTGATCAATATAAACATTGTTATTGTTATCAATATAATTGTTGCTGTTGTTGTTTTTATCATTAGTATTCTTATTATTTTCATCATCATCGTCATCATCATCACCATTACCATCGTCATTGTAGTTATTATTGATTAATAATAATAATAATCCGTTTTTTTTATATAGCGCTCAATACACCGATCCAACGATGTGCCTAAGCGCTTTACAAAGAAACATTAATGAGAGGGATAGATACTTCTTGGGAAAAAATGAAGAATAATATGTACATTTTTTAAATACCTATCCTATCAGTTGGGAGCATATCATAGTAGAAATGTGTCCCATGAAAAATACATCTCTGAAACGCCCTATTATTCGAAACATGATTGGAAATAGTTGACAAGTTTAGACCGAAACTTTGTGTGTAGCCCCTTTTAACCATTTACATATGTTGCACATGTGATCTGCAGCAAGAATAATCTTTTTTCATCCAGATCATTCCAAACCTCACAATTCATATCCATTCTTTTTAATTAAATATGTGCTGTATTTGACAACTCTTTCCTAATAATGGCTTAGGTATTTTCACGTCCAGTATTGTTCAGAATTGAACTATATTTCTTCATAGTCGCTTCGTTTTTGTTCTATGTTGGCCGCTTTTAAACGCTCTATCAATTATCCTGTGAAAAGAATTGCACAAAACAGAAAATATTATTCCCCTTTTGGTAACGAAAGTAAATACACCCTGTATGTTGATTGATGAACCAGCACAGTCAAATCAAACAAAAACACTATTATTTTATATCAAAGGATTTCGCTTTGTAAACCTTGACCATACACTTAGTTTCACCCAACTTTCTGTTCTGATGAACTTTAATCCGACTTATTTATTTGATTTGACAATTGAATATGCAGAATTCACCGATTAAAACATTCTTCAGATTTCTCTTATTATCCTATATCGTATTGCTGTTTATGCCTCTTCCCCTTCTCTTCTCATCCGTTCTCTCGATATCCTCTTTTTCTATGCTCTGCCAACTCGTAATGAATTATCATTTTGCCCTCCAGTCTCTGATCTATCAACTCTCTATTTTGTCACTGTCTCTTTCACCTTTCGTGCACTCCCTTACTTCTCGTCCTTTTTTATTCTCTCTCTCTCTCTCTTTCTCTATCCATCTCTCTCTCTTTCTTTATCTCGTCATCTCTCGTTTTCTCTCTCTTTTTCTTTTTCTGTCTTTCTCGCTTTCTCCCTTTCTCTCTTTGTTCTTTCTGTCTCCAAGCGCATTTATTTCTTCTTCCTGTCACAGTATAATGAATCCTCCCTTTGTCTTTCTGTTGTAAACATGGTAACTCCAGGCAACATAGTTCTGAGAAACCAATCCGTATAATAATTATTGACAACTGACGAGGCCATGATATTGGGATAAAAGATTAGTTTAATTAATTAAAAGAACACACACACATACAAACTGTGACAAACATGATAACACGGTTGATAGGCCTACATTGTTATTTGTCAATATTATATGAAGCAGGCGGCATGTACAAAGGCCGTCCGAGCTATTTCGGGTCCCCCCCCCCCCCTGTTTCAAGAAACGTTTTAGTCATAAGAGGCTCTCTCTGTCTCTATTTATATATCCATGGGCGAGTGACTTCAGAGATTATTCGATTTATGCTTCGGAGACAATAATGTTGCCCCATGGTCAATATCTAACATTAGGGATTTTTAGATTTACACGACGAGAACGTGGACCGCCCCGTGTGACATCCTTTTAAGGTAATGTGACGTCCTTTTAAGGCACTGCCGGGCACGGCCCAGTGCCTTAACTCAATGTCACACGCGGCAATCATGCACGCTCTCGTCGTGTAAATCTTAAAATCCCTATTAACCAAACTCCTTGTACTTAAACTCTGGACCTAACGCTATACCGAACCGTCATTCTAGGCTTATTGTTGAGATATGGATAGGTAGACCACGATAGATTTCTTTTAAAATGTAATACGCTGGGAACCTTCTTTGCGGACAGTTGCCATTCATTAAGGCCTACGTGTATTATACAACACTGCTGCAGTTTTTATCCTGTGGTTTACCGCATCATTATTATCTTGACGAGCCTTAAACGAACTTTTGAGCCAACCTAAAGACCAGTAGGAAACCTAACCCTAACCTAACAAAATAAAGCCCAGATAAAAACGTTGTCGGAGCATGTACCCGGTCGCGTCTTATTTGTCGCCATGACAAAATAAACATAATTTAAAGTTTAAACCAATGTTGAGATCCTTTCCATCATGGAAGGTTCATGCTCGCAACGTTATGGATCTTGAAAATATGATTTTGTTTCGCACCATAGAGGCCATTCGTATTATGAATACTGTATACTTAAGCATGCATCAAGAAAATCCACATTTAAATGCGCGGTATTTTACTGACACTACTTCAGGTGTAGGTATACTGCAATCAGTAGCTCATAATGTCTCGGCGTATTGACAGACATGTCCCATAATTCATCACCAACTGACGACGCGCGCTCGAGTAAAATAATCGCAAATCTCTCTGTATACCCCTTCACCGAAAGATGGCGCAATTGAAAATACCTTGCAGCAGCCAGTGATATGGTTCTTTTTCTCGTGCCTTTTCCAGACATTACCATGAAGTGTAGTGAGTGCATCTTGAGGGAAAATTTCTGGTAATACTCGGATCGAAAATATAATGTTGAAAGACATATTTATTTACAAACAGGTTATGACTCATTCGAATTATAATGCAATATTAACTTACAATCAAAATAATGATCGTCTTTGCACCAAGTGAATTATACTATTTATATCAAAACACGCAATTAGTCCAGATTTAAATAGATTTTAAGTGTCCCTTAAGACGCTACAGTGATTTTTTTATAGTGATATAAAGACTTTGACAAATTGCTATTATGTAAAATACCTTAGGTAATACATTTATGTTATTACCTTGTACATTGTCTGCCTAAGCCTGAGCTACTGGGTACTCTGTATACCCCAAATGAATAAATCAATAAATATAAATAAAATAGATATTAATTCATTAATTCATTGATTATCTGGAACGGATCTTACGGACCCCGCAAGAATAAAATGAATGACCATATTCTGAAAACGATGTTATCTTTCAATTTGGGGGAAGTTATAGTAGTCATGATTCTAACTGTCTATACAATGTAGATTATCGGCCCGCGATATTTTTTTACGGCCCCGGAACACCGCGTATCAAGATCCATGTTGATCCGTGTTACTATCCTTGTATGTGTGAAACCCGCTTTAGCAGGGTAATTAATGCTAACCGAGAAATCAAGAATGAACGTTCAACTCATAGGCCTGTTTTTTAGATAGCTATATGCCACCCCGCCAGCTTCAAAGAAAATTTTTCACCAACAATTTACATGTACGTGTATGTATAGTATAGTAGAAAATAGAAAAGTGTTAGGCCTATACATGTTGGTTATTACAAGGATACTTCAGGTATAAATAGATTATGTACAAGATTACAGACGCAACTGAGATATATTCATTTTGGACAAGATAAGACTTAAACACTAGATCTTTTAAAGTAGTTCATGTTGTTTTGGATACACTTTACTGACACCATCGTCAACAGAGGTAGTCTGACAAGAAGTAACAGTGGGAAAAAGTGGAGCAGGAAGGCATGAAACACGCTTAACGTATATCCTGAATTAGTGTATTCGTACATTTTCTCCTGTACGCGATGTATTTATAGGTCTAGATGAAATAAAGGATGTTATATACCTCACTTTAGAAATCCAGCCATCTGGTTGGTCGAAATCGGAGTCGTGATTTTAGCCATTCCCGTAAAATGCCCAAACCGGTCAATAATTTTTTGAAAAAAGCCCTAGGGCACTTTTCAGAAGACTATTGACCGGTTTTGGCATTTTACGTATATGCGTGCAATCTCAGTGGGAAGGATTTTAGCACACAAACTCGAGTGGTGTGCGATCAGACACCCTATTAAGACTAGGTCTCGATAGCGTAAACAAACTTGATTACCATGATTGGTAAGTCGTACATGTTTTCTATGACCCTTTTCGGTATATAAAAGTTATAATGACTGCTTTAATATTCGAGGAATAGTTGCTTTTATAGGCTCTCTGGGAGGTTACATGATTGTGCTATCACCACTCGGCACGCCTCGGGGCGAAAGCACGATCACGTAACATCCCCTTGAGCGTATGAAAACAACTATGTCTCTCATAGCAGTCATTATTAATATAATATTCCTACATTCTAAAGTTATCCACATCTGGGTCACACAGTAAAGCAGGGAAGGAAATGGATTAAACCCAGCGTTTCAACACTGTATTGTTACACTGAGGTGGTTTACACAAACTAAGCCGAAATTATTAAGTGACCTTGTATTGGTAGTCATAAATACAACATAAACGGATCAACCAGGCCCACTATTATCAAACACAGGTATGTTAAACAAAAGTAAGGTTGTATTATTGAGTTGTAAGACCATTGAATCCATGATCTCAGTCCTCTGATATTTAAAAAAGAAATCATTTTGGTGAGGTAATATTTTTGTTCGCATTGTTCCACAATGACAAAGCATTGTCTTTACAAACAGGTCGGTGGCATAGTCTCTTTGTATTCTTCGTCTTATGGTGTCGCTAAAAGGACAACGAATATCCATCCTCGGTGTTCTTTTTCCTGTAATCCTTTGGAGCATCTGTAAAGAGAGGAGAGAAAAAAAGAGAAGATATTAAGTTATGCTTTATGGAATCAAATGTCATACTAATAGAGAAATCCAAGCTATTTTGTTTTATACGCTACTAATCACATTATCTGATCAAATGTTGTTAATTAAAATCCGTATTACGACTCAAATCAGACCGAATATAAAGTGAATTTACACATTTGATATCCCTTTTTGTTCAACATTTGGTAATGTATAGGACGACCATGACCAATTATATACTTCACTTACCCAAACACAAGTCATATACAACATAAATGTATAATTAACAATGATATAGTTTTTTTAAGGGTTTCATTAACACTTTATCTGCTAAAATATGTTTCTGTTTAAAGACTGTTCCACCTTATATTCTCCATCAGGTTCTGGGGCTTACTGCATTATGATGTTACAAACAAAATATCATACTGGGGTAATTAAACCATGAAATTCTTCAGTAGATGTCACTTTCCAATTCACTGAGCTAATCCTGTTAGTAGTAAATTATTGATGCTTGATGTTTTTACCGATCGGCGTGGCAAATAAAGGGTTACAAAAGGAGTACTATGAGTAATTGTTATCATTGATGTTAAGAGAGAGCCAGAGGGAGAAGAAGAAGAAAAGAAACATAATGGGTCTGCTCGATTTCTTTTTTTCGAAACAAACGTAGACATAATTTATGCACTCTTCTTATTTTCTTTGTGTATCATCCTCATCTGGTCATCCCGCTACTGTTTCTTATTATTTTGGTCTCGTTTTTATTTTTGTTTTTCGTCTGTTACATTTATGAAAGTATAAAGTTTAATTATTATTGTGTGAACCTGCACCTGGCAAGCTTTGCTTTCAAGTAGGTTCGTTTTTTTTCTTTCATTTCCTGTAACCACATAATTTTGCATTGCAAGACTAAAAAAAATATGTCAAAAATATTTAAAAGTTAAATTTCTGTTATATCATTATGTTTATTATTGTCTGTCATTGTTTATATTATGTGGAAAGAAATGAAAATAAATTCGCTCTGTATAGAGCGACATCTACTTCTACTCTATCTCGTACGATATGTGGGCGTTGCTGTGAGCCACAAAACACATTTAGTTACATGAAGGAGGTAGTATAAGCTCCTTGGTTATATACAGTAATACCTGCTCGTGAAGAGCAGAAATACCACAGACTTGGTAATTAAATACCACGTGGTTGAGGAGCCTCTCCCGAGGAGGACTTAGAGGTCGATAAAGGACTCTCGATAGCAAAAACATCGACGTCACCACACGGCTAGGTCAAGAGAAGACAAATACATGTAAACAACTCATTGAGTAAGAATTGTAAGTATGTCTGTAAGCTCACGTGGTCGCCATTTTAAGACATGGTAGATCGTTACTCTACAAGAATCGGTAGGATAATCTTGCATATAATTCTTCAAGAGGCTATTTACTACCTCTACTATAACCCATATATAAAGCCCACTCAACTGGGAGTTAAAAGAAAACATCGTTATAGACAGGCTGTCTTGTAATTCATATAATATGGTACTACCAGCATATAAAGACCACCCAAGGGGAACACAGATCGTGATCTTTGATGGCAAGTGGTCTTATAATATTCCATAGAGTACAACCTGTTTATAAAGATCACTCAATCGCAAAAAATAATCTTATTAGGCAGGAGGTCTCGTAATTAGTCAATACAATACAACCTGCAAATAATATAAACCACTAAAAGGAGACAAGGAAATTATCTTTTAATCCACGTGGTCTTTAAATTCTCTTTTATGGTTCGACCTGTACATAAAAGCCTTTCAAAGAAGACAAGGTTCTTCTTTGTAGGTTGGTGGAGTATTTACAGATTAGTCTTACAATTCAATGGTAAACACCATTCAAGGGTAACACCCGAAACGTGATTTTATAGAGCTACACGTGGTCTTTCTATACAGGTTGCCAATTACAGTAGTCAAGTTGCCCGACAAAGGATAAATCTTAAACACAAAACAGTGTATGGAAATTAAGGTTCAGTGACTAAAGTAACAATGTTATAAACACGCGGTCTAGGCTTATATTCTCTGTAAAGGATGTTCATCTTTTTGCAAATGACAAATCCGTAACAACCTTACATCTAACGAAGATATCTGACATCGTCTGCTACTGAGCGCAAGAAGGGCGTAAACTCTATGTAAGGATATGAGTTGACGTCCTTCCGTCTCTAAATGAACGTTAATGTATGATGTCCTGTGATTGTTGAAGTCTATATTTCATCATAAGCAATTTTGACTTCACAAAATAAAGTAAAGGGGTAAATTCATGTGTCGTCAAGAGTTCTTCTGTCATTAATTGAAATAAATATATTAAAAACCTTGTCATGCTAATGGTAGGTTTGCGTTTACATCCTGGAGCGCATCACTGAGAAGTAATCACATTTTCTATGAAATAATCCACTTCATTTTCACATAATTGTCATTTGCAACTCGGCACATACTCTTTACCTGTCTCATGGGAAATTGTCTTGCCTTCATTGCAAGAACGCAGTATTACTTCCAACATTGTCTAAGTGGTCTTCCTACTTAATCGGATTCTAAACACCGCGTACTGTGAACTAATGGAGAGACCCGTTCACATTTTCCTGAGGTTCATTTAAATCTCTTCCGGAATTCAGATGCTATGAAGGGTCGAAAAAACACTAGGTTTGATGAAATAAGGGTTAAAAAAATAATGTGCAAACTTAACCTATACAATAATAATCCCAGTTAAATGTTTAATATTGAACATTTGAAAGTTCTATATACTCTCATTACTGCATCCTTAAAAAATATAGAACATTTTGTGCTTCCTGGTTTCAATTGTAACGCCCGTGTTTCTTAAACATTGCCCAAAGTGCTTTACTCAGTTTTTAGACGTAAACGTCATTGAACAAGAACCTAGGGTTCATAATATTTTTTAAAATTGTTGAAGTGTGCGCCTTTTAAAATTATGTGAATCCACATTCAAATCACTATTTTCCTGGTATGTAATAGTATATTTAACATTTTGAAAAAAACCTCAAGAGTCACTATGAGTTACTACGATCTATACTGATAAATGCCATGGAGACATCGTGGTGTTTTGGTTTCTTCACTTGACTCTCAATCCTAGGGTTGAGGGTTCGAATCCCCGCCCGGCACTCTCCACCCATGTGTAAATGGGTACTGTCAGATGATGATGGCTTAATACTTAATAATACTTGTAGAAAGAACAGCATTGGTACTCTTAACGCTTCCCCGGGTAAACATATTATTATTATTAGCATATTATTGTTATTATCCCGAGCTATGCCGAATGCAAAGCTTACTTGGACTTTACTCGGCTCTCAATAATTCGGCAGAGTGTGAGAGGGCCAGGATGACAGATCTTAAGTGTGGTTATCTTCTCTACCATGCGATTAACGAGGAGCGCGAAAAGCAATTAAATTTTGATTTACGATCGTAGAGAGGGTGTTTACATTCTAGTCTTCAAGCACAAGTGGTCGAGCTGTCAAGCTCTAATTGGAAATGAAACGACATAACTTCTCTTAAATAAGTGGCTAAGATGGGTTTAGGCTTGATAAGTATTCACACAGTGGGACAAATCAACGAATCTAAAACCTGCCAAAGGAATAGGGTTAATTTTTGAAAATGTAAGTGGTAAATCACCATTTAAGAGTAATGTTTATTCTTTTGTTTATCTGGATCCAGCATAAACGGTTATATAAAGCAAGTTAAAAGTGTTAATTATTTTCCATTTTGAAAGAGTGGTCAATTTATTGGCCCTTTTAAAGGGTTGCTTAACGTTTTAATTTGAGAGGCCAAATAATGATAAATGTGAAATATTAATTTTGCAAGCATTATAACTACTAATTAAGTAATTTAGCGCTTTTTTATGCATCAATTTTGTACTGTTTATATTCATTCACTGGTTTCAAATCATTAACAGAATTGGTGTTCAACCGGAATTTAAATGCTCAACTGTGTGTAGAATGAAAGTTAAGCAATGAGGCTTACGTCCTTTTCTAACTGGACAGTCTACCTGCCTCGAGACGCTTGCATTCTACTTTGTGAAGTGACAAATCAAATTAAGAGACCAGACTCTTTACTTGAGACGAACAACACATTAATTATACATTAGCTCACCTAAACGTGACTGGAATAAGAGAAGAGACGCAACACACAGGTTGAGGACACCTGGGCCCTGTCTTACAAAGAGTTGCAAACCAATCATAAGTCCTCCAATCAATCTCAAGTTTGCAGTCTCCTATCTCTCATGTACAAAGTTGTGATTGTAAGACGGGGTTCTGGTGTATCAAAGCTGTGGTCATTCTTTAAATGTAGTTTGAAAGGATTATTTAATATTTGTGAAAGGATTCTTTGGGGATTGAACTGTGACTCCTATAAAAGTGGATGTCCACTCCTGTACATTTAGAGAATAGTCTCGTTATACCTGCCTTGCCATCTTTCTTCCAATACAAACATTAACTGATTTTAATTGTAGTGTGAAGAGAAAAACCCATCGAAGCAAGTGTAGAATAATAACGTTGGTAATTAGAATCAAGTGCAATGGAATTTCTTTGGAATGGAATTACAACGAGAGGATTTTGATACAAGCAAAGTAAACTAGACCGTAACAAAGTTTCATCAATCTTTGGCCTGAACGGATTGTGGGGAACAAATCAATCATGTGCTCGTCTTTCTGAATTGGAAAAGAAAACATGAAACGAAATGAATCTCTGTTTTGAAAGAAGATGCGTGAGTAAGGAAGCGGCACAAGCTGCTGTGTCAATACCAAAAAACGATTGGTACAATCAATGTTTGTAGTTTGTAGAGTAATTATTCACGATAGTGAATCAAAAAATCTTTCATGTTTTGGTTGTTGATTTCTCGTCGATGAAACTAATATCTCATGATTAGTTTACATTCATGACGTGTACATTTTGTAGGCAAATAAAAGGTTGATAAATGAAGAATATGTATATACATTATGTAAATGTATATTAATTTATAACATGTGATATATGTGGGGAAATATTGGGAGAGGAGAGGGGAGATTGAATAACATGAAAAGGGGACAAAGAAAAAGAAAGAAAGAGAGGAGAGCTGGAAGTGGAGAGAAGCAGAATAAGAGCGGTATGCAGAATAGTGGAAATGGCGGGAAATGGTTTGTTTTTATAAACTACTGGAAATGTTTCAACACTAATCTGATTCAATAAAGTAGCAGACCACTTAAAATGTATTCCTTTTGTGTTATTTTTGGCATCATAATCATTAAAAGGACATGACTTTTACCTACAAATTTCTCCACGACGACATCTAAATCTGGCGTAGCCGCAAACACATATGTGAAGATTGTTATAATAATCATTTTCAAATAACTCTTATTTAATGGTGTGGCATCTTTTGTTGGACTGTTAAACAAAGGTACTGTTGACGGCAATTATTTTTCTATGATGTACTTTCCAGAGTTTTCTGTCGATCGAAGAATGGGAAATGTTTCGAATTCATGTCTTATAGAATTTCCTATTTTTGCCCCCAAAAATGTATGCTATTTTTGGAATGGCTTACGTGATGGGTCATTTGGTCTTTTACCGATCCCTATACATTCGGGAGCCCATCCAAATCAAATTTCGATTACGGGAAGATCCCGGATGGGCAAAACCACCTGCGTGAGTCGGCTTAAATTAGTTTCCCAACAGACGAAACTTGTTGTGATTGCAAATCTGTCCGGGACAGATTAAGAGAGAATAGAAGCAAAGAGAGACATTTCGAGGACGTAGTTGAGATGTGACGTGGACTGTCAGGTGCTTAATGTCATGTCCTTATAACTACATGTGTTTTTGATGCATTGTCGAATCAGATTAGGCCCATTTGGTATCATGATATTTGGACTTCTGAATTTATTTTGTACTAACCAATTCTACCTGAAATCAAGAAGAAAAAAAAGAGGCTGCAATATGGAAACCAAAAATAGGCATAAGTCGTTTACTACTTTGCCTTATCTTCACAATGAAAAATAGTGTAAAAGCAGTTTTGAAGCAGGAATCTTAGTAGGTGTGGTAGGTGTATAGGTGTCAACCAAACCACAGTTTTGCGAACATTCTAAATGATCCACACCTGGGTCACATTGTAAAGTAGGTATGGAAACGGAATATGGTAACATTGTGGTGATTTATCCACATCTTTGTCACACAGTAAGAAAATAGAGTAATTAAACATACTGTGTCACACATTTCTGTATGACCTAACCGCCTTGACCGTGGCGTGTTTACTCAATATAATTTCTAATTACACGTGTTCCTCAATAAGAAACTGTGGAAATGCTTTCTCTCTCTCAAATTCTACCGACTGTTCTTTTGGGGGGCAATTAATACAAGTAGGAATCAAGATAAAGAAGAACTGAATGTGACATTAAAATAGGGGAGGGGATAGGCTTTTATTTACCTTGATTATTGCTGACCTATTCAATCTGATTAAATAAGAAGGCCATTCTCCGGTTTGTGATTACCATCTTTTGATTCACTTCACTGCCCACCCCTTTTGAGGACCTCTTACTCCATCTAATCAGAAACCAACGGACACTGATTTTATTTCCGACCACCCGCCATTGATTTCTCCTTAATTAGGTGGGCGGCGAAAACGTATGGAGCAACAGTCGTCTGCTCACGCGCTATCTACAGGTAGGGAGATTGGAAGCGCCGAAAACGAGCGGAGGCGAGTTAATTAAGCGCACCATACTACGAGGAGTTCGTGGAGCCACCATAATAATTAAGGTCTCATGCTTGATTTCCTGAAATAGGGCCAGTCTTTTGTATGGCGGAGGAATCACAGCTATGTAATGAATTTGCTCTTAACCAGTCTACTGCAAATAAAACGAGATGCTAAAATGGCCTCGATTTCTCTTCTTCATTTATATGTATATTGGTAATGCATAGGCCTACATTGAAACAAAAGTCGGAAGGACAGACCTTGGGTGTTAAAAGCGAAGTGCTATTAATAATGAAACGTGACGAAATCAAAGTTGATATGGACATGTTTAAATTGTAAAGCCTTCATTACAGATGATCTGTTTACGGGTCGTAGAGGGACTACGATGGATGCGAATCGGTTATTTGCTTTTAAGAAAGAAAATAGTTTTGAAAATTCGTTAAAAAGTACGCAAGGGAATTTAAAAAAAACAACACTTAATAGCTAAGTGACAAACACGAATGGAAAGAATACGCGTAAAATGGTACACATGATAATGTTTTCTAGTGTTTACTCGTATATAATAACCAAGTTGCAAACTGAAAAGTAAAGACTGCAAATCTCCTTGACATTCCCACGCGGAAATTCGAAATTTGTCTTAATGCATCCAAACTGCCTTTTTTAAAGCTGAATTATAATTTCAAGACTATCTTTACGCATACTATCTTTAGGCTGGCTATCTGATGAATCGACGCATAATTAGATGAATCTGTCTGAATTTCACGTCTGAATTCCTCGTCTGACTTACTCTGTCTAATGTACCCATCGCTTCCTGGTCTTCCGGCGTAGTTTCTTCCACAAATCTCGTGTAAGGCGGCAACGACTGGTGCCAGTCTCGTCTGCAAAAAGTAAGAAAGGCGTGAAGAAAAAAGATACGAGACAGTTAATATCTAAGAAACAAATTATTCAATCAGGAGATCTAACTCATGGTCATTAACATTGCGGTGGAAAAATGTGAGCCTATCATTCGTTACATATCGTCAGTACAGTCGCTCTTCCTGCCCCAGAAAGCTGGATGACTAGGCCAATGCTTAAAGCATTAACATTAAGTACTATCCTATCCGAAGAAGATGTAAACGTATTCATAAAGGCATCAATACACTAATTTCAGGGTTATGTGACTTATCTGCTGCGGTGTTTAAACAGTCATGTCCCATAACCGCATGGCGGGCGTGTGATGATGCTTGGTGAACAATACGGCTCACAAGATTTGTCCTGATTGTTTTTCAATGTTCGACTTTATAATATCATAATAAACAAACAACTTGTCGCGAAGATATTAACCCGAAACTAAACATAACTATGAAAGCGTGGCCCCTATATTTACAGATTTAGTCGGCACATGATCATTGAGCTAGAGACCGTCAGCACAGCCGCTTTTGCTGCCCTCATTGAGTTGGCTGACTACGCCATTGATTTAAGCATTGGTCTACATTATCATCCTATCTAAAGAAGATGTGAACGTATTCTTAAAGGCAGGATGTTATACTGACACTACTTCAGATTTAACTCTTATCCTGCCACAGGGTTATTCCCCATTGTGCCAAGCCCCAAATATCCCGTGCCAGGTTGTTTTGGAGATAATCTGATTTACGCGATGGTTAGTGAATAGTGCGTGCGAAACACACAGCACAGTCCAATAAGCATGAACAATAACTGCTACTACGAATGCGTGCTTGCACACACATGGCAATGAATCAATGGTTAGCTAGCATGTACAAAGCACTATAAAGGTAGCGTGCATGCAACCTCATGGCATGCCATGAGTTAAGTATACTGTCATCTGCTGCTTACAATGTCTCGATGTGTCGACAGACATGGCCCATAATGCATCAACAACTGCGCGTGTGATGATGATTAGGTATAGGAACCGGAAATCGTTCTATGTACGCCTTCACCGAAAGATGGCGAAATTGAATATACATTTCAGCAGCGGTAGCGATGTTGGTAAAATAAATTGAAACAGCTGTGAATGAAGGAAGGACTTTCTGAAGAAAGCCATGACAACTAATGGCTATTCAGAGGAACTATTATACGATGTGATAAAATTCCTCGGAGCCGCCATGCGTTTTATGACCTTACAGCTCATAACTCAACGTAAAGGCTAGCGTATCAATAAACTGAAGTGTGTACCCCGTCATATACATGTTAAGAGAGAGTAATTTATGGTTTGGAGAAGGAATTTATTTCAAAAAGTAAAGTTATTGTACTTTCAACACTCCAGATGGAGTTTAATCGACTAATGCAATTTTGTGTGGAATGTCACTAATAATAAGTTGATCAATTCACCTATCAATCTATTCATCTCTTTTTGTTTTACTTCGTACAAAAAGAGACAATACAGAAAATTCCTAAATGTTCGGGGTCTAATTTTGGCCAGCGCGCAGAGCCTACAACTAATTTTGACCCTTAACCAAAAATGCTGAAATAATAACTTTTGACGAGCTCTGAACATTTAATGAAACGTAATGTCAAGTTATCACTGTCCGGCGTTTTAGAGCATTTTATTTTGTTAATGCTACCCCTTTTCCATAAGTAAAATGTGCTTAAAATCCAAGACAGATACAAGACAGTCATGGTTCTTAAAATTGAATCTTAGATTTTGAAAAGCTAAAACTAATACCACATTATTACTTTCGAGACACCGATAAAAGGGAGAGAAAGAAGAATGAAACGTTACCAAAGAATGCCGCTCGGCCATAGTCCTTTTGTAAAAGAAATCTTAAAAAACACTACTTATTTTCGATGTTTTTTGTTGTTGTAGTTCTTATCTCTATCTCAATTCCAACAACGTATACACATAATATAAATCAAACCAGAAAGCTCATAATTTTGGCTACATAAACATGCTAGAAAGAATAAAAGTAGAAGGGGTAGAAATATGGTATAAACGATCATAAGGAGATACAAACTCTCTGCGCATTATGACCGTTTTTGTTTACTATAAATTTCAGATCCCCCTATAAATAATTCTTTATGTGTTAGGTTTACAGTCATCTACAGTAAACAGCTCTGATCACTCTTTAACATGGAACTGCAGGAGGTGTTATTTTCTTTCTTTTTAAAGATAACGATGGACCTTTAATGTGACATTTACTATTAATTCCTTTGCTCGAAGATAGACAGGAAGGCCTTTTCCCTTTCATTTTTAACATGACGTCGATTCCGGCTGTTAACAGTGGACTTCATTTGTTATTTATTATCCATCGCCTGCAGAACATCATGTCTTCCGTCATGATCCGACTCGGGCCATTAATTATGTGATTGAAAATTGCTCCAAGTTCCTCTTGTATCTGAAAGAGCCTCTGATCATAATTTAACCCAAGTAAAAAGTTTCCTTATTTTCCCCTTTCCATTAGACTGATTAGGCTGATCTTAAACCTGTCGTTAAAGAGGCTGAAGTTTCATAAATATGTAACTAAGTTCCACAAAGAAGTCAATGGCAATTACATTATGGGACGAAATTCTAACCATCTCTCTCAATACAACCATGCACTAAATACAGATTAAGGACTGGAATGTACATAATCAAATTAACAATGTCTCATTTGTCTACAGCCATCATTTTTTTCGTTTATTAAAGAGTCAAAGACATTTACAGCTTTAGTAAAAAACATCATAATATTTATAAAAAAGTTAAACTCGAAGTATGTTGGAATTTTTAATAAAATTTCCCCATGAATTACTTGCACACGCTGGCGATAAGTCTTTTACTTTTCCAATTGGAAGTTCCATCCTGAACTTGATGAGTGCCTACGTTAAAATGCAGCGACATACAATCCATATATTGAAGTAATAGCTGTTAAGGTGTCTCTAATTTGAAATTTAATTGGACGTAAATTGTTAATGAAAGACAAAGGCCCTCGAAGGGTCTCCCATTAAGTGGCTAATTTGTTGAAAGAGTACTACATGCATACCTTAAGATGATTAGTTCTTAGAGGAATAAAAGGGTCATAGAATAGGATGATGTTATAAACCTTTCTCCATATACAATTACATATTTGTATCCAATAGCAGTACACCTTTTACATGGCAAACACTTATTGATGGAAATTTAATTTAATTTTAAAATTATCAGTTTTTTTTTAATAACCTTAAATATCACCATGCTGCTACCAGCATCCGTTCTTTCTTTTGCACTTTTTTGTTAGGAGGCTGGCATATTTTGATGCTCTTAATATGCGTTTTATTCGTTTTCAGGGCAATGACATTATGGTTAGTTTTGATTGATGGTTTATTTTACCTGGTAGCTAAGAAGCATATGTGTGCTTGTTAGTAAGCAACGAGAGGACCGGTGACTTTAAGTCCTTTCTGAGGGACTAGGTAATCAAATTGAATTCCTTATCAGAGGGCACTAGCGAATCCAATTGTGTTCAATAACTCGAGACCACTGATCTACCACTGAGCCATCTCGCCTCCTGTGTCTTAAGATTAGGCATAACATTGAAGTTATTCTGACCCTTTTCTAACCGACGAGTGTATGCTGTTTATTGGAACGCGTCTTATAAAAAAGAGAGTAGGCCTACTACTCCCATAACTGAATAGTCTACAGCTGTGTATATTTGATAAAAGTTAAAACAATTAGCCAAATCCCGAAGGACCGATAAGGACAAAATAAACTAAACACTCCCCAGAGATTATTCCAAACAAAGCACCTTTTCAGGGAAATAACTTTCGTCGTTTCCCCTGTCCTCTTATCCCCTTCAGAATACACGGCGCATTTATATCAGGAACGACACGCGGGAAAAAAAGGTGGTCGCGAAACCCAAAACCAACCACCGATCATGTTATCGATTTATTCATGTGCAATCGATCGTCCGAGATGTGTATCTCATAGTGTAGACGTGGAATAGGACACCCCTGAGCTTGGGGGCACACTTAGTTTGCTGGGGTCTAGCTATCTTGCGTTCGTTTTCAACCTACGTTGCCTCGCATTTTGTTTCTCTTACCATACTTTGTGAACACTATCACATTTTGTAGGAACTAGCTTCGCCCCCCTCTTGATTAATGTTTACGTCATCATCATTTATATGCACACCTGAAGGCCTTCTTCGTCATCTTTGTTTCTTTTTTTCTCTTATTAGTTCTAATTGTTGTTAGGTTGTATTCATAGTCAGAGGATTATCTCTCAGATTGCATCTAGAATGCATGCGTTATTTGTTGTTACTTCAATTGAAATGTAATTCCCTTTTTTAACTGGAATTTTCTTGTAACTGAGCTATGCTAAAACGTGGCGGCTTCACAGGTGTTGTGAGGTGCATGCTCTGACGACAATTGCTCTACGCAAAATTTCTTATACAGACTAATCAAATTTCTTATTTCGACAGTGGAAAAAACACTATACAGTATACTTAAAACGAGGTTAAACCCAAGTGCAATCCTAGCTCAAACTATTACATTTCACGATTTAAACTCCGGGGTAATGGTGCCAGAGCAAAATTCCATTCAATGGACGAGGTAGTTTCCTTATGCATAAAAGTCGTACTTTTCAGTTTTCGGTAAAAAGAATATTGTTCCGACCAAAAGTTTTGTCGCCTCGTGCTAGTTTAAAGGGAATCTCCCCTCCCGCATCCATGAATCTGAATTTAAAGGCAGTACTAATTTTTGTATGAAACCCTACATTTGATGAAAGAATAAAACAGAATGTGTTTTGGAATTTGAATCGTGAATCTGGGATATTCATTTTCATTCCACTGGTAGTTTCTACACGCCTACCAACGGCTAGAAGCACAGGACTGAGATGCGATCGGATACGTACTGTAGCTCTCTCGTCAGTTTACATTTTGATCATATCGATTTTAGTCCAAGGCTCGTTTTAGGATCTCAAGTACTCGCCTGCGGGGGCCCCCATCTTCTTGAATGAAATAAGACAACAAAATAGGGTAATATTGCGGATTGCATATCCCCACAGCCTTCTGTTCAGTCGTATCTTTAACCTCTAGCAACCCCTCTCCTCCCTCTCTCTCTCCCCCTCCCCTCTCCCCGTCTTCCTCTCGTCCTAATGATTCCTTCTGTCTTTCTTCCTCTCCCTCTCATTGATTCACTATCTTTATATAGCATGGTATAGTGTTTCCTCTTCCAATCCCAATCTTTTTCTCTTTCCCTCACCCTTTCATATATGTTTTAAACTTTAGCATTCTTTCACCTATCCCCTCTCCCAATATATACCTCCCTCTCAGTGGTTCCCCCTCTCTATAATTGTTCCCTTTTCTCCTCCCACTTCCTTTGTTTCATTCTCTCTCTCTCTCTCTCTCTCTCTCTCTCTCTCTCCATTTCTCTATCTCCTTCTTTCTTCCTTCCTCTCTTATCTTTAGCATCACCTCTATCATTCTCTCTCTACATCTGCTTATCACTTGCAGGGCTTGAGATTGCAAAATCGAGCTATTTTTCTCAATACATATCCATTTTTTTTAAATGTAACTCTCTTTTGATTAATACTTCCTTTCATTCTGTTTGGCTAATTATAATTTTGTGCCCTTCCCACTCTTTTTCTCTCTATACTCTCTTTTCTGTCTATTCCCTCAGTTTTTCTCTTCCTCTTTTCTTCCCTTCTCTACCCCTCTCTCTCCTCTCTCTCTCTCGTTCTACCTCTCTCTCTCTCTATCTCTGTCTCTCTCTTCTCTCTCTCCCTCTCAATTCCCCATGTTCTACTAACCTGTCTCTGCCTCCTCCCAGTCTCTCATTTCAGTTGGCCCTTTCCTCTCTGTTAATACCGCTCCCTCAACCCTTTTCTCTCCCTCTCTGTCCCCATCTTCTCTGCCTCTCCTTTCTCCCAATTCCCCCGTCCCTATCCAGTTCTGCCCTCTTAAGGGGGTGGTACTCCAACATATCGTCCATTCGATTAGCATTGATATTCCAATGAGGATTTACCGACGGGAGTTTGGGTATTTTTTCGGACTTAAAAGGTTTCTATCGATTTTGCATTTACCAGATGCCTGCAGTGATAAGGGTTTCAAGAGGCTCTGCTGTTGTTGTTGTTCTTTCTACAGATTACTTGATACGGATACGTGTCTGTGGCTGCTATAATTCCCTTCCGCTGCATTTGTGAGGTTAGTTTTGCTCTATTTTCCAACCACGGGGAATAACATGACCATGTTTTTCAGTCTTTGTGTTGTTCCAATCAGTGATTTGATACAGATAAGTGTCTATGGCTGCTACAATGCCTCTCTTCAATTCCTTTTACAGGTCCTGTTTCGCTACGTTTTCCGCCCAATGTTCATACCAGAATCGAAAGAATCCCGTTGTGCTGGTGTTGTTTTTATGAATGACTTGGTACAGATACATGTTGATCGTTGCTATGATGCCTCTCTGACACTGCTCTTAAAAATTAATTCCGCTCCATTTTTCGTCCAACGTCAATATAGCGGAACCCAGATAATCCTGTTTGTTGGTGTTGTGTTGTTCCTACGAATTACTTGATACGGATTTCCGTCCTAGGCTTTCCTTTTAAAGGCGAATTTTGCTCTTTCTTTCAACCATCTTCATTACCAGAATACTTGTGATAATTATGCTTGTGATAAAGAACTTAACAACTGAGGCATAACTGATAAATTATTAGATTATCCCTATAACCCCTATCCCAGCAGTAGCGAATAAGAATTGTACAATATCTAATGCTATGGAGATGTATGATTGAAGGAAATTTCCAAAGGTACTTCTTGCTTTTAATCTTATCATATTATGGACTTATGAAGGATCAACGATACCTTGAAAATTGGAACTAATACATACTTTCTAACATAGGTATTTCAGAAGTAAACGCCACTTTTCTACATCTGCGAAGCTGTTAGACATTCTTTCTAGACAATCCTACTTTAATATCTACCGTAGATAACATATTTCAATGATGCGCGATTATAATGACCCGCGCCCCTCACCCCCCTTACCCCGACTGATAACCTTCCTAATCATCTCTGTAGGACAAATTACTGGATTTAAGGAAAATACCCATGAAATATACCCTTCGGAAATTTGTCTCCACCACCCCCACCCCTTTAGAAAACTAACACAACTACCCATCAGGAAAAAGTGCTTTGTATCGAGAAAGATGAGAGCTAAATATGGCTATAAGGACGTTTGTTTCCATTCCATGAAATATTGCATAATAATATCATAGACCACTATCGAATCATTATGCTATACATGTATGACCTTCGATATACTCACATCGGCGTATAGGGTGGGTCCAGGCATTGAGGGGGCACAAGTGCAATGGATTAAATAAAATGCACACGAATGAAGCCAGCTAGTGGATGAGGGTATCAGGAGGTTACGTTGTCAACCTCCATTCTCCCTTTCTCTTTCCATCTTAGTTTCATTCTTTTAGCTAATGAACAGTACTGAGCAAGTTCCCCCTACCCTCAAGCTCCGTCAATGCATGCATACACCATTGTTTTCTATTCCATTTCTGCTACTAGATAGACGTTTGCGGTATGGCCGTCTGTGATGTGGTAAGCGATTTTACCAATGTACTTGTACATCACGTCAATACTGTCTGGCAGCAAGACATCGGTCGGAACATGCGCATCCGGTTATACCACATGCGTGTCATTCTATGGACAGTTTGCCCTTGTATTTTTGCAGAAAGTGAATAATTTTTTAGGCTGAATTGGAGGAAAAAAGTAAACTACATGTTAGACTGTACGAGGAATTAATAATTGACAAGTATTCGCTTCTTGCAAATGTCATTTTATGGGTAGTTTTCCGTCTCAGTGGCGGTTTTGAAGAACCTAGATTTTAAATTAACAACGGTTGACGATTCTTTAACAAATACCATTTGATATGAACAGCGTTTAACTACTGTAGCCCTATTAAGTGTGATTCAAAATTTAGTCCAACGACGTTTGCTCCGAGATGTATCTCATCTAAAATACAGGTTTAAGGTTTTTTTGTTTTGTTATGAGAACAGGCATTTCTTACTTTTTAGCGTTGTAGATGATCAGAACCGTGATATAGACGAGAAGAACGGCTACGAAGGCTACAGTGATCCAGAGAGCGGCATGGTTGATGTTCGCCTCTGTCATGAGTCCTTCGTCTCGATGACGATGCACTGGTGCTTCTTAAAATATGACAATCGATAAAAAATAAAAAAAACATTCATCAAATGCAAGGTTATGATTTGTATCAGCGTTTCCATAAGAGAACAATAATAATAATAATAATAATAATAATAATAATAGCATAATAGTCCACTCCAAATTTTATTAAACCGAAACGGAAATTCTTTTTGCCCAATTGATCGTGAGCCCGGCAGCCACTGAGCAGCGCCAGATCGACGTTGCTCTATCCCTTATTGTTAAACGCCAAACAAGGTAGCAACAACTCCCATCTTTTAACGTCTTTTGGTATGACGCGGCCGGGGTTCGAACCCACGACCTCCCGGTTGTGAGGCGGGCGTTCTACTGACTGAGCCAACACTCCGGTTACCCTATTTACAATTACCCTATTTCGAAAAAATCTTCTTTTTTTTTTAGCTAGTCTTCTTTTAAATGTTTATTTTGTATTCTCCCTTAGCTTTTCTCTTCCAATGATAAGTATTGAACTTGAATCTTTTAATCTTGAGAACAGGAAATAAATGGAAATAGACAAGTTTGCCAAAGGGTTTATAGAATGAAGATTCATTTGAAGGAACCAATTGGTAAAGAAAGCATTTTCAATCATGGAAAACAAATTATTTTTGAAAAAATATCAACGATTATTGATCCTTTAATTTAACAGTGTCCGCGTCCTTTTCAATTGTTTTCAAATATTGGTTCCCCTTCCCCTTTTCCTGATTTAATCGGGTACATTACAATATAACACGCATACACACACACACACACCTACATATATTTTCAAACTTGGAGGTTAGCCATTTCCTGACTGAACTAATTCTTTTAAATATTTGTCGAATGAATTATTACCAGGGATTACGCCATTTTCATGGTCGTTTCCATCTTCAAAGTGTTGTTTTTTCGAATCCTCTGATGACGCTGAAGATGCACCAGTTCTCCGTCGTCCTGTAGATGTAGTTTTCCTAGATGACATCGTATGCCCGCTCGATGCCGTCGTTACGTATTGTTTCTCCGTATATTCTATCACCGTCACATCTTCAGTCTCCGCAGACGACGTCGTATGAAACTCGTCGCCATGTCTGTTCCTCAAATCTGTAAGAGAGACTGCCGACGACGTTTCGAAAGTTCTTTCTACACTCGATGCGGTTATGCCCCCAAGGGCGCCCTCTTCATAAGGTAGAGTTCTATGTTCTTCTGCAGAATTCGTTCCTGATGTATGTGTCAATATCACAGTGTGAACTAAAGGCTCTTTAGGGTTCTCCGAAACGGTATCGCTCAGTAAGTCTGTCTTGGGCACATGCACGGGCAAAGTTTCACTTTGAAGAAAGTCTTTTGGAGCCATCGTGGTGACGTCATAATGAATGTCTTTGCCCGATGATAAATCATCGGGTAAATATGTTGTAGGCACGTTGGGCGTTCCAATGTCTGTTGCTGCAGCTATATAGGTGAGAATAAAAAACACAAAGTGTTTTGATAGAGAATGACAATGAACAATAACACTAAAAGTGTTCAGTTAAACATCGCAAAATTAAATAACAACATTGTGCAGTATCCTCAGCTGCAACAGATAATGCAGATTAGCGTCACTATGAGTTAGATTTTCGACTACTTCATTTATTATCTTACTTCGGAAGACTAAGGAAGTGTAGTTAAATTTCTACATGCACTTAATTATATTAAAAAAAATATGTGTACACATTTAGATGTTCGAAAATTCGATCATTTGATATGTGGGATGACGTACTTTTCTTATTGTTTAATAGTCATGGTGATCCGATATTTTATCCAGTCTAGTCTATATTTCGCAAACAAATTATTGGACCAAACATCGCAGTATAATCTCTAAATCCAATTTCCTGAACCTATACCTACCCTAAATTTCGAATGGAACACACATTTAAGGTTAATGGTTAGATTTTCACAGGAAGTTAGGAATTCAGTCAGTGTTAAAAATTGACTGAGGAGCAACAGAGGCAAGAAACAATTTAATATCGAATATGTGCAATTTGAAGGTGTAGGAGAAGCTGGAGGTACATAAGTTGATTTCGGAATGACAGGTTCATTTAGCTCAGATGTATCTCTCATCCCCATTTTCATATCCCCTTGTCCACTGGCCGTGGCACTACATCAACAGAAGGAAATTTATCTGTAAAGGTATCTTCTCCCAGCTCGGAGGTTAATTGCAATATTTTCCCAAACTTATTTTTCCTTTCTTTTCTGGAATGTTAATCTCAGGAGAGGGGAGGGTGCTGCTACTTTGCAGTGGGTACGTCCGGCTAGTTTCCCCACAAAGTGAAATTTGGCATTCTTTTGTAGGTTCATGTTCATGGGGTTTTGTTTTTATTGTTGATGTTGTTGTTGTTGTTTTGGGTTTCTTTTTTATAGGGGGGTCGGTATTTTACCTCTTTCTCTTTTAAAGATGCTTGGATCTACATATAATAACACCTACACATTCCTTTTGCGCAGATTTCTTTCTCTCATCCCCATTGTCATATCCCTTCATCCAATGACCGTGGTGGCTACTACATAAACGAGGTTTCCTTCTTTTTGTGAAGGGAGAAAATAAAAGGAAGGAGGGCCAACTTGGTAGTGTAAACAAAATAACCACTGGCGCATTTATATAGGCACAACCAGCGCAAGCCCCTTTTTAATCCTATTTTGTCCTTCTCTATGTACATATAAATAGGTATTTTAAAATTTGCTTCTTATTAGAGACTTTTTGGTTTCGTGGCCTCCACATCCCCCCCCCCCTCCTCTTGTACAGAAGCCTTGGCATTCAGTGGACCCATCTGGCCCGTGCCCTCGTTTAAACTAAATTTAGTTTTTGCTACGATTTTTTTTTAAAGCAGAAAATCCTTGATCCGACCCTGATTCCATCTACAGGTTCATTTTGCTCAGATTTTCAATCATCTACAATTTCATATGTCCTCGTGCGATGGCCGTGTCAATACATCAACAGGAAGAAATCGTGAGGTTTCCAATTTCGCCGGTTTATCTTGGGCGGAGGTGGGAGAAGCATGATCAGTAAAACTGAGCGAACCGTACCTATAGATCGAGAGGGAGAGAATGGTAGGGGGGGGGGGGGGTGGAGCTCAAGTGAGACAAAAACAGGAAGGAATTTGCTGCCTTTCTTTTTCTTCTTATTTGACTTTTTCATGCGTTACCCTTTCTTTCTCTTTCTCTATAGAATGGGTGGATATTGCATATTAGCCTATGGTTAACAACTAATATTTTACTTCGTTATCCGTTCCTCTTACTGCTTCTAGCCAAATTAATTTTATTTCTCAATATTCCATTCCACAATCCGTCCTTTTGTAATTGTTGTATATCTATAATCAAACTGTCTTTGTATTTCTTGTAAATCGGATACCGAGTTCCCTACAACGATTTGTATTACATTTTTCTTTCTTCACCGATTCCCTGTAAAGACATCTGATTTGTGTCTGTCCTGCTTGACACTCCTCTCTCCTCTCTAGTAGATCTCTAACCTCCCTCGCTCTTGTTCTCTGCCCTCTCACTCTTTTTCTCTCCCCCTCTCTCACTCCCTCTCCCTATCTCTCCCTCTCTATCCGTATGTCTCCGCACACACACGCCCACGCACACACAAACTAATTCTTAACTTTCTTCTTGTGCCTTAGATGTTCATCCCCATACAAAATCCTGCAATGAAATTATTACGAATTATAAAGCTTGAAACATGACATAAACGATGACGGTTGATCTATCACCTTTATCTCTGATTGCTTTCGAGTAACTTGACTCTTCTCTTTGGCCAGAATTAATGTGTTCTTTACCTGATCGCATCAGCAATGGAGTAGTTCCAGCCATTCGTCAGAAGCCAGTGAATCAACAATGTCAACTCCACTGATTAATGCATTGCACATTCAAAAGTTTGTCATATCAGGATTGACTGTCAAAATCAAATATCAAAATGGAACCTCCAGAGCCTCGGGATGGGATAATATGTCAGGTAAATTAGAAAATTATAAGTGACAGTAATGGACGATCACGAACAAGTATACTGTGCCCATATCAAGACTCCCTCTCTCTCTCTCTCCCTCTCTCCCTCTCTCTCTTTCTCTCTCACTGTCCTCTAAAAAGAAATATAGGGTAGGGTTATAGTTGCTTATGCACTCTCCTCAAGCTTCACTTTATGTTTCCCCTCTTGCCGATATGACTACATTTGTAAATCTGCCATTCCCGTGAAGATACAAACAAGCTGAAAACAAAAACTTTCACATTTCACATCGGCACGTTCACCATTAGTCATTTAACGCACAGATTATTCAAATTAGATTCGCTGTTCATTCGATTATAATTATATTACTCTACTTAAACACTAACACTCACCACCATCAGCCACGACTACAAGAACAACAACAAACCAGTCGTTTTACCATAATTATGTAGAGCAAAAGTGGTTCACATTTTATAAGAATCATCAAAACAAATCTACTTGTGAAATATACGACTCATACAAAATACTACTTAATTTGTGATCACATTAAACATGTTAAAAGTTGCAAATGTTAAAAGATCGTGTATTGGTAAATATAGGCAGAACACTGCTCCGACATACCGTTTCGGTAATAATAATACTTTAATGCTTACCTCATCAAAGAAGTAGAATTAGATTTAGGATAGCAATTTGGTTTCAGGTAAAGTTAAGCATTTGGATTAGGTATTATAGTATTTGGCCCAGGGTTGAAAGTCGGAATTCGGTTGTGAAGGACAAGCAGGGTAATTGTCTGCCAACCCTGTGTGGTACAACCGGAAAAAATCTCTGTCTGAGCAAGGCCCTTGATTAAACCATGGATTCAACCTATATTATTGCGTGACCAAGCTTTTGTTTTTACTTCCCGTCATAATATGCACGCCGTAATTTCGTGATATTAATTTCGCAGGCTTTTCCCCACCCATTCATGCATCCATCACTCACAAAATGTTGCCTCGAGAAAAAAATATTGGATTCGTTCCGCATTGCCGAGTTTTAAGTCTTCGAGTCACACACATTGTTCTTGATGACCAATGATTAAAGCATTTGATGTTTCGTTTGTATCATGTAATTGTCTTAATATTTATATATCAATAATACTTGTACCAATGCTATATCATTTTAACAGATAAGCATTTGGAAACATGCTTGTGGTCTTACTGACGTGCAAATATCTCTTTTTAATATATATTCATAGGCCCTACCACAATTACTAAAGACGCCATTTACAAATATAGCCCCATAACACCTAAGCAACACTAGTTGATCAGGATGATTTTAATTACTACCACCACGCTCTGGAGAAATACGGTCATAGTTTAAACAAAACGAGTACCGTTATTTCGCCATGTTTCTATATAGTACATAGCCACTTAATGGACTGTAAAAGCTACCCATTATACCGTGAGCAAAATTATAAAATGTGATAATGGGAACGCACCCATGCCACTTGGAAAGGAAGCAGCTGGTGGCGATTGTAATATCTCCGATAGAGGGGCAGGATTTATTTATGGCAATCCACAGGGATGACACCGGTTTTCATCAGTAAAGAGTGCATTATTATTTGAGAGATCTCGCTCCAGAAATGGCCCTTCGAGGGACATGATGTGTAGAGCCTCTAAAGAATGCATGGTTTATATTACACCGTTGTCAATCCGGGGTTTTTAAAGATTGTTCTCTTGTCATTTTAGTACGCTGAACATTTATCGTACTTTTTCCACCCTTGAGCTGTTCAGGTGTTTTTTCTTTGGCTCGTCCTATGGTTCAAGTTTTGTGATCTAAGGGATATCATTTAAAAAAAGAACACATTGTCCCTTAGAGCAGAATCCACAATAAGTACCGTCGGATTGTGGGCGTGCGTCCGTGGGTGAGTCTTTAGCCCTACGCACACTATACGACCCGTCTGCGATCCAATTTTCTACGGATTGCAATTGGATAATATATGGAAATACAAACAAATCTTATCTTCTCTATTGAACCCTTGAATAATGAGATTAAAACTAAACATCAAAATTGTGATTTACTGTGGGCTTTTCACTATGAAAAAAGTCACACTGACAAATGGTATACATTCTAACGATGTCTTGTCTGACGTTTCTGCAACTGGGAGCCATTTGGCTTTTCCTTCTACAGGGAGGCTTGCAATACCCTGGAAACTCACTGCAAGCCACTATTTAGAACCCCTTTCATTAAGATTTTACAGATATGAATGTTTGTATCCAAGGCTACTGCACATTTTCTCCAAACTACCTCGAATCGTAGTCAGATATGGTGGGTTTCAAGCGTGAGTTAAAACCACTCATGTATCGAAACACGCTGTTCCGAAGTGTTTGCCAGACAGCGAAGTTTGATACCATAAACCCAGTGCTAAGAAGCAATGACGCACGGTTGTCTTAAGGCATCCCTGTGGTGGTCGTATGTTTTTGACAAATACCAAGGCAAA